GCCAGCAATGATCCCAAATAATGTAAGAGTCCAATACAATATAATACAATATATATAATATATAATATAACACATGTCTTAAAAATGATGTCCCTGATAGTGAGACCCTCGCAGCGATAGCTTTGGTTCCTCTGAGTGGCACTTTCAGTTATCGGAGACATTACAGATGCAACTACAAAAAAATTTTATGTAATCAAAACAAAATTTTTAAAAAGTAAAGTTTCACTCACAATAAAACCTCATTAATTCAGATGCCACTAATTCATAATCAGTATTATTAATAGGAATCGAGCTGAATTTTACCTTTGTAGACACTTTCCTAATAAATCAAGAGATTAACCGTATTGTTGTATGAGATTTATATTCATTATTGGGTTCTAGAGCACTTTAATATTCTCAATTAAAATTCTGCATTGCTATTTTGACTATTATCATCATTATTATCATTCTTAAGCCACACTTGCAAAACTTCATAGAAAGGCAAAATATAGTTTCTAGGGTATCTAATATAGAGTGTAGATATTAGAAATATTTATGCAGCAAATATTTGCTTATTTTCCAAAATCTGCATAATCAATTTAGCAAGTTTCTGTTGTTTAATGCATGTATACAGAAAAATCTATAATTTTCTGGTGTAGTCAACATAATACTTACAAAGAATGTGGTTCAGGTGGTTATTTCCTAGGTAATGCTATCATTCATAATAAAAGCTGCAACTTCTAAGACTCCAACAGTATTGGGGTTTAAAAGTTATTTAACAATAAATTTCTAGGTGCACCCCAAGTGTTCTTTCAGGCTATAAAATGTGTTGTTGCTTCATAAGAACAAAACAAATAGTCTTCTTTATGGAGTATTTGTTAGACTAAAGGATTCTTTTTTCCTTACTTCAGGTTCATGTGAGATGTGAATCTCTACGTCTACTTTTAGCCAATGAGCCACATGGACCTCAATGGTCCCACTGGAAGAGTCAGGCATCTAAAGACTTGAGATGAATATAAACACATTTGAAGTCCCCTATGTGGGCTTTCCTACCCACCTGCTCCCCCCACCTCCAATTCTGTGAGTCTTACACTGGCTTTTAACAGTGTTCAAAAATTGCCAACAGTTGTGATTGAAATGAAGTTGGACGCTATAGCAGACCCTGCTAAAATGGAGGGCAGGTTTTATAAAAATAGAAATAAAATTTAATAACAGTGGTTTAGCAATAAAAGAAGGGAATAAATAACAAATTTCTGTGGGAAGGCTGCTCCCAGGACACAGAGGAGGTGAGCACAGTGGGTGAACCCACCCTGACTGATGCCGCAGAAGCTCACCTGTGAGGGCTGACGCCGTCCTTCCTTTAGTTGTCTCAGGACCTCATTACAGAAAAATCTCATAAATTCAGATTCAGCAAATCTGGAATTTGAGATACTTCGTGAAACCATAAAATGCTAAAGGTGAGGGATCTGAGTATGTTATCCAATCTCAATTCATAGACGGTACAAATGAGAAAACAGGACAAAAGATGTTAAGTGACTCGTCCAAGGTCATACAGGAGGTTCCTGGAGAGAACCTTCCTCTTCTTGCCACCAACCAAGATTATGTTCATGCTCACTGTTGAGGGTTAGATTGTGTCCCCCCAAAAGGTATGTTCAGGTCCTAATCCCTGGGATCTGTGAATGTGACCTTATCTGGAAATAAGGCTTTTGCAGATGCAATCAAGTTAAGATAAGGTCTCACTGGATTAGGGTGGGCCTTAGTCCAATGACTGGTATCATAAGAGGAGGGAAATTTAGGCACAGCACACAGAGAAGGGTAAGGGTGACAACAGAGGCAGATTGGAGTGATGCAGCCAAAGAACACACAGCAAGGATTATGAGAAACTATCAGAAGCCGAAAGAGGCAAGGAAGGATCTTCCCCTAGAGTCTTCAGGGGGGGCACAGCACTGCCGACACCTTGATCTTGGATTTCTAGCTTCCAGAACTGTGAGATAATAAATTTCTGTTGTTAGAGCTGCTCAGTTTGTGATAATTTCTTACAATAGCGCTGGGAAACTAATACAATCACATGTATGTAAAACAACATCAAAGCCCACTCTATACTAAAATGGTTTACAGTGACATAAATCCCCAGTGAAGATTCACAACCAACCTCAGCCACACATCACAAAAAGCATGTTCATTAAGCATTTATTATTTTCTTAAGTGTCATACTTTACCTCATTTAATCCTCACGATAACACTATGATATATAATTTGCCCTGTTTTAAAGATGAAGAAACAGAGGTTTGAAGAACTTTCAGGAATTTGAGCAGTGTCAATAAACTAGTAAATGCTGAAAGTTGGGAATCAAATCTGGACCTGGAAATGTGTACCTCGAAATCCATGCTCTTAGCCTTACCTTGGACCGGCTGCATATGGCAGGTCAGCCTGTGCACTGAATGCACCGGAGTTGCGCAACATGGCAGCCCTGCTCTGGACAATGGGAATGCAGCCACTGCAAACAAATCATCTAAGAGAAATTGCCAGACATGGCAGAGGCTAATATGCCACTAGAACATCGGATAGCGATCTGACTACGCTAGTTCCTACCAAGCATTCCTTCATAACCACTCGGCCACGTTCGTTCATTCTTTCTTACAATAAACGTACTGCGTGCCTTCATATACCAGCCACTCCCTTGAGGGCCTTCGTGGCCACTCAAAGAATAGAACACTAGCTTTGCCCTGACAGAACTTATAGGGAAGTTGTGGTTGAAGTTAAAAAGACTTTAGTTCTTGCCTGAAAAGGAGTCGAAAACTTCCCTGTGGTTTCTGGACTCTAGCCCTGTAGTGAATTTAGGATTTTTTCCTCTAAGGAATAAAAGTGTAGCTCAAAAGACCAAGGGCAGTGACCACTAACTGGACCCTGTGAATTTCTTCTCATTCACCAAAAGGCTTGGTAATGAAAGCTCAGAAACAGGAGACTGAAACAGAAGAGCACATTTCCCAAGCATGTTCTTCACAGCTGGATTTTTCAGGCAAATGAGTGGTTTCAACAGGCACAAGAGGCATGGAAATCACTAAAGCAAAGACACAGGAGGCACGGAAATTCGCCAAGTATAGAGAGAGCTATGAGGTTAATACAGCCAGAGCACTCTGTGTGTGGGTGTGTACGCATGCGTGTTCACCCACATCCAGGTATATGTGCACAGATGTGCACACACAGGGGGTCGTAGGGCAGTGTTGGCTGACAACTCTGGAGAGGTAAATGGGAGGAGCTGAGCTCAGGTGTTCACTAAAAAGGCACACAGAACATGTCGTTTGGGAAGGAGCAGCTTAGAAGGGTGGCTGGGAAGGAACCCTCAGACATAACCAGTCCTGCATTTTAAACAGCCCCAGCCCTGCGGGATACGAGTAAGCTTTTTCTATCTTAACTGCAGTTTAAATAAAGAGGCTAGTAGAGGCTAATATCTGATGCCATTAACATTAGAGCCTTATTTTTAAACCTGATCTTTCCTCTCTTCTGCAGGCATCACTAATAACCTGACCCAAATATAGAGAAGATTCACAACTTTCACTGCCAAAAATATATACATTTTTAAATTTTAAAAGTTCTTCTAACTGTTACAAAATTAAGATCGCTTTTCTTGTGAATTTTTAATAAAAAAGAATTTTCCCCCTATACATATCCATGTTACAAACTTCCACCGAGGCTAATTTTGTCCAGCCCAATGTTTACCTCTAGACTAGAGGCTGGCAGACAGTTTCTATAAAGGGCCAGATAATAATATTTTAAGCTATGCAGACCCTATGATCTCTGTCATACCAACTCTAAGGTTGTAGCATGAAAAAAGCTACAGAGGTTATGTAAATAAGCAAGTGTAGTTGTATTTCAATAAAACTTTATTTACAAAATGAGTCAGAAGCATATTTGGTATATGGGCCATATTTTGCTAATTCCTGCTCTAGACCAACATAACTTTCTCCCTTTACAATCAAGAAATGTTTAAACCATTTTTGTAACTGGTCAATTTTTTTTTTCTTTTTTTTTTGGCTGCGTTGGGTCTTCATTGCTGCCCGTGGGCTTTCTCTATAGTTGCGGTGAGCGGGGGCTACTCTTCATTGTGGTGCGTGGGCTTCTCATTGCAGTGGCTTCTCTTGTTGCAGAGCACGGGCTTCAGCAGTTGTGGCTCGTGGGCTCTAGAGCTCAGGCTCAGTAGTTGTGGCGCACGGGCTTAGTTGCTCCGCAGCATGTGGGATCTCCCCGGACCAGGGCTCAAACCTGTGTGCCCTGCACTGGCAGGCGGATTCTTTCTTTTTCTTTTTAAATAAATTTATTTATTTATTTTTTGGCTGCGTTGGGTCTTCGTTGCTGCACACGGGCTTTCTCTAGTTGTGGTGAGCGGGGGCTTCTCTTGTTGCGGAGCACGGGCTCTAGGTACGTGGGCTTCAGCAGTTGTGGCTCACAGGCTCTAGAGCGCAGGCTCAGTAGTTGTGGTGCATGGGCTTAGTTGCTCCACGGCATGTGGGATCTTCCCGGACCAGGGCTCGAACCCGCATCCCTGCCTTGGCAGGTGGATTCTCAACCACTGCGCCGGCAAGTCTGAGGCTTTACTTTGATATGCTTCATTAATTATCTTTTTATCTTTCCTTTCCTAGTCTCTTTCCCAAATCTTACAATAGCAATGTGTGAAAACCACCTGATTTGGCTCTTGCCCATAAAAATGCCTTCCTGACTTGGTACCTTGTGAGCAAAACAGTCAGAAACAGCCCAGCGAGCCCCATTGACTCTGGCCAATTAGTGTTTCATCAGAGAAGTATTTCTTTTCTTTTCTTTTCTTTTTTTTAAAATAATTTATTTTATTTTTGGCTGTGTTGAGTCTTCGTTTCTGTGCGAGGGCTTTCTCTAGTTGCGGCAAGTGGGGGCCACTCTTCATCCCAGTGTGCGGGCCTCTCACTATCGCGGCCTCTCTTGTTGTGGAGCACAGGCTCCAGACGCGCAGGCTCAGTAGTTGTGGCTCACGGGCCTAGTTGCTCCGCAGCATGTGGGATCTTCCCAGACCAGGGCTCAAACCCGTGTCCCCTGCACTGGCAGGCAGATTCTCAACCACTGCGCCACCAGGGAAGTCCAGAGAAGTATTTCTACATAAGGCAAGGGTTCTCTATGCCTTCCAGACTGCTGTGGGGAAGTAATAAAACAGTAAGTTAAGGCTGGGTGAAGAACTCGACTTTTGTCTTTGATCCTGCTTCTCTGACAATAGCCAACAGGCTTCTTTTTGTGGTGGATTGAACTTACCTTGTTTTCTTTTTTCCCCAAACAGCTGCAGTTGCAAGTTATTGCTTGCCAGAACTTATTTTTCTCATACCTATTCAAACACCTATGAGAGACAAAAAGCTGATGAAAAGGAAAGAACACTTTGCTGTCCTCAAATTATAGGTGACTAAAGAATTGAGTTCAGGGGCTTCCCTGGTGGCGCAGTGGTTGAGAGTCCGCCTGCCGATGCAGGGGACACGGGTTCGTGCCCCGGTCTGGGAAGATCCCACATGCCGCGGAGCAGCTGGGCCCGTGAGCCATGGCCACTGAGTCTGCGCGTCCGGAGCCTGTGCTCTGCAACGGGAGAGGCCACAACAGTGAGAGGCCCGCGTACCGCAAAAAAAAAAAGAATTGAGTTCATACTGACCCCAGGACAGGATAAGGGATATTTTTTCCTTCACTTATGTCAGAACTAGAGAGTGAAATAGAATGCTGGTTGTGGATATAAATATATGTGCTCCATGTTCTTAAAAAAATTGTGTGCATTATTTGTAACTTCCAAGTCTATTAGAGTGTGGCTCATCAGTCACTGTACTGTAATCAGTCTTCAAAAGAAATGCATGTTTTACTTGGTAATCAAAAGTCCCAAGGTGAGTCAGTGAGTTCATGAGTATCTCAGCTGGTGGATTTGCACAACTGATCCTGGCCACTCAGCTGCCCAAAAGTCCGGACACCACCATCCCAGTGCCCAGTTTGAGTCTTTTCCATCTGGGTGCTTACCTTTGTATCCTTCTTGCCTTCTCAGTTCATACTTTAAATTGAGATTTTATAAGCCAAGCCAAATTGGTGCATTTCAAGGGTTTATTCTAATCTCTTCCATTGTTCTATAATTATGAGTTGGGTCCAAGCAATTGAGAATTGTGTGCCCATCCTGAAGTTATTCCAAATTGCTTACTTTGAGAATGAGTATTAGAAAGTCTGGCACACAGTAGGTACTCAATAAATGTTTATGGAATCCTGGTATATATACATGGCATTTTTTTTTTAACTGAGACAAAATCTTCTTTCAACAGGCAGTAGAAGCAAGATGTTCCTGGCACGTGACACACTGACTCAGGTCTCTGTGATAAGAGGGAGCACTATACAGAATTCCTGGAAGAGACACATTCTCTCAGCTTCCTTATTATCATGTCATCTCCCACTCTTGATTTTCTCAAAAATCCACAGATATAAGAATAAATATTCTGGAGCCTTAGGGTTGTTTCATCCATGAGGACATAGAATTCAGTAATCTACCCAAGTCTTGTCACTACCTGAGCTACAAGGGCCTTTATAATACACACCTTTTTATGGACTCGAGTATTAGTATGATAGATTGACCTTAGGGGTTTTCTTTTAATAAAATGAAAGAAAAAGAAGAGGGAGAAAAAAGAGGGGGATGGGGAGAAAAGAGAGAGGGGGTCTCCCAACCCCCAAACTCAGCATATTCATATAAGCATATAAGACCAAAAGGATGCAATGTCAAAATTAAACTTGAAAAATTCCATCCTAGGAGAGGTTTTTTTTTTTTTTTCATAAAATGAAACCTTCCTATCTCCTTATTCTGGTGAAAAAAAAAAATGAGAAAGATTGATGAAAGCACCTTTCTTTCAAAAGTCCTCTCTGTCAGTTCAGAGCAAGGAAAATTAAAATACCAGACAAATTCATCCATCATGATAGGCCTCTTGTTCCCTTTTCATCTTTCTTCTACTTTCTAGATTACTAATTTCTCAGTCACCTTGTTTTTGTTCCCTGTCTGATGGTAAGCATATGTATAATACTTAATAGTTGTTATATCTATAGATGCTGGTACTTTAGTACTTAATATTTGCCATATACCTAGGAGCTCAAAGAATTTCATTAATATTAATTAGGTATGTCAATCTATTTCAGAAATTAGAATATGTACGGAAATCAAGCTTTAGAAAATCAAAAGGATAACTGTTGTCTCTAGTAAAAACTTGAGAATTTCATCCAGACGCTGGGGTCCCCGTCACATTTCATCATTGGCTGCATGACCAAAGGCAAGAGTATCAGTCAGTATAAGTTAGGTTATGCTGTGGTAACAAACAAGCCCAAAACCTCAATGGTTTATAACAACTCAAGTTTATTTCCCACTCACACCACATATCCATCATAGGGTGGTCATGGCTTTGTGATAGAGGGAAAAGAGCACACAGAAAATAACATGCTGGCTTCTAAAGCTTTCTCCCAGAAGTGGCCCACGTCATTTCCATTCACAGTCCGCTGGCCAGAGCAAGTCCAGTGACTCTATCAGTGGGACAGGGACATATAATCCTCTCACAAGGAGAGGCAGCAAGTACTGTGAACATTATACAGTCTACCACAGTGAGAGGCCTCAGCTTTCTTACCTGTGAAAAAGTTGAACCTAAGTTACCTCACAGATAAAGTTTATGATGTAGTAGTTCTGAATACCATTTGACAATAAAGCAGGGCAGTATTATAATTATTGTTCATACCTGCCCACCTCAAGCACCCTCATAAAAGCAATCCTCATAAAAGCAAGCATCCTCATAAAAGCAATGGGCAAAGTTAGGAAAGACGTCTTGTTGAGTTGTGCTTGGTCCAGTTTTTCTGGAAGACGCTTCCCAGCAACAACCAATACAGTAGGCCCCACTTATCCACAGTTTTACTTTTCCTGGTTTCAGTTACCTGCAGTCAACCACGGTCCGAAAACGTTACATGGAAAATTCCAGAAATAAAAAATTTGTAACTTTTAAATTGCATGCCATTCTGAGTAGCTGATGAGAGTTCTGGTTGTCCCACTCCATCCTACCCAGGACGGGAATCATCTCTTTGTCCAGTGTATTCTACCCGTTAGTCATTAGTAGCCGCCCTGAGTAGCAGATCGACTGTCTCAGTATTGCAGGGCTTGTGTTCAAGTAACTCTCATTTTACTTAATAATGTCCCCAAAGAGCAAGAGTAGTGATGCTGGCAATTCGGATATGCTAAAGAGAAGCCAAAAAGTGCTTCCTTTAAGTGAAAAGATAAAAGTTCTCCACTTCATAAGGAAAGAAAAAAAATTATATGCTGAGGTGGCTAACATCTACAGTAAGAAGGAATCCTCTATCTGTAAAATTGTGAAGAAGGAAAAAGAAACGTGCGCTAGTTTTGCTGTCACATCTAAGACTGCAAAAGTTATGGCCACAGTGCATGGTAAGTGCTTAGTTAAGGTGGAAAAGGCATTAAATCTGTACAATAAAATATTTTGAGGGAGAGACTACATTCACATTCAAATTATTGTAATAATTTTTATTGCAATGTATTTTTATAATTGCTTTATTTTATTTGTTATTGTTGTTAATCTCTTATTGTGCCTAATTTACAAATTAAACTTTATAATAGGTATGTATGTATAGGAAAAACCATAGTATATATAGAGTTTCATACTATCCACAGTTTCAGGCATCCTCTGGGGGTCTTGGGAAGTATCTCCTGAGAATAAGGGGGACTACTGTATTCTTTCCAACCCAAAATTCTATGATACTCTAACACAGAAGGGGTCAACAAAGTAGGGGAATTCTATGAAAACACTCTAGCCAGGATTTTCTTTAAAATGTATCTGCTTCTTAATTATACTTAAATTTTCAAAATACTAATCTAAGTCTTCTAAGCTTCTCACTAGAAATCTTTGCCCCTGAAGTTACTTTACCTAGAAGGAAGTCTTAGAACCCCAGGCTTGGCGTATGCAAGGAAAACCCATGGGTTTCTGGTTCCCATTCAATTTGTACTAAGAGGATCATTATTATTTACCTGGTTATGCTGAAATGGGAGGCTGAGCCCTATAGTCACATTCTTTTTTAAAAAATTCAAAAACAGCTGTTGGGAGAAGAAAAGGGACTAAAACTAACTCAGTGATTTATATATTAAAGGTTCAGAATGCATTATCTGAAATCCTTGGAGCCTAAATGTTTCAGAATTCAAAATTTTTAGGTTTCAGGAAGCTAATACAGTGCATATAGCACCTTCATCAAGCTATATGAAGCTAAACCCATAATATTAAATATTCCATCATCAGAAATGTATCAAGTATAAATGCACATAAGTATAAAATATAAAGACAATAAATAACTTTATGTGGGTTCAGATCTGATTTTTTCCAAATGAGTTTGCTGCAAGCTTATAATAAAATTCTGGGTTTTCAGAGCTTTGAGAATTTGGGAATTGTAGATAAGAGTCTGTAGAATGTATTTTATTTAATATTTAATATAGTCCTGTTTAGTGATGTGTAGCATGTATTAGGTGAAAAAAGCAAGGTGGAAAAAAGCATGAATGGTATGCTACCTTTATTTTGGGGGCGGGGGGAATGGATACTTGCTTATATTTTAAAAACTTGTTTATGAGAAAAAAAAAAAAGAAGAAGAAAATGTAAACCAAAAAATAAAGCAATGGAAGCAAGGGGAACAAGGTGGGGAAGACAGGGATAAAAGCTAGGCCTCTCTGAATATACTTTGACTACAAAGAAAATTTAAAGTTAAAAATGTATAATCCTTAAAAGTCTAAAGCAAAATGAAGCAAATGAATGGGCTAGTGCAGAATTGAGCTGGCAGCATAACCACACTGAGAGGGATTATTTCAATTACTCCAAAACACAGAATTTAAATGAACATCCTTTAGTGAAATATAACCTAAGGACAAAAAGAACTATTGAAAAATTAATCTGCTTTCAGTTATCACATTGTTGGTGGTAGTGTTGGCGATTGTTATTGTCTACATATTTTGAGATAAAGCAACTGAATAAATAACATGCTGGTTTCAGTTGGGAACCAGGATTCCAGCAACAGAAAAAGTGATGCAGGTGTATTATTGAAAAAGTTAGCAAAACAAACAAACCTGAGTACGTAAATTTGAGTTGGAACTATCAGTATGGACTCAACAACCGAACTGAAAAGAGAGCATACCTAAGTAATGAGAGGGAAAACCAATACTTAAAAGAGAATTAATAAAGATGTCGATCAATTATTTATACACATATTCCCTTGCCCTATCCATTGATAAGACCTAGAAACAATGACCAGCTCAGAAGCAATGAGTACCAAAAAGCAACGAGATTATCGTCTCTAAATATAGCCTCCTATTAAAAGGAACAGGGCTTCTGGGAGATATGGTTGATTCCATGTCTGGGACAGGAAATGAACAATATAAGCCTGAAACACTTCTCATCCCAAAAGACAGGTAAACCACTGGTGGTCAGAATGAGTGAGGGGCCAACTCTAAGGAGTTCCCAGTGGCCCAGAATGCGACAACTTCAGCATCAATAAGAATACAATGGATTGAAACCAATTAAATACATCTAAATCTATGAAACAAACTCACTGGTCACTTTCAGGGGATGCTGATACCAACATATTATTTTTGAAAACAGGTCAATAAAGGGAACGAATCAAGCATTTAATCTACCTTTCCTATACAATCTATCTCTGGGTTACCAAATAGTTGATGAGGAGACATTTCTCTTTACAAAAAATTATCACACTAATAAATAAAGAAGGAATGGTAGAATTAGAATACCCCTCTTTTTTTTCTTTTCTTTTTCACTTTGGAACACTGACGTTTTATTTTTTAAATGTTTATTGGGGTATAGGTGATTTACAATGTTGTGTTAGTTTCTGCTGTAGAGCAAAGTGAATCAGTTACATCTACATGTATCTACTCTTTTTTAGATTCTTTTCCCATATAGGTCATTACAGAGTACTGAGTAGAGTTCCCTGTGCTATACAGTAGGTCCTTATTAGGTATCTATTTTATATACAGTAGTGTGTATATGTCAATCCTAGTCTCCCAATTTATCCCTCCCCACTTTTCCCCCCTGGTAATCATAGGATTGTTTTGTACATCTGTGACTCTACTTCTGTTTTGTAATTAAGTTTATTTGTACCATTTTTTTTAGATTCCACATATAAGCGATACTACGTGATATTTGTCTTTGTCTGACTTACTTCACTCAGTATGACCATCTCTAGGTTCCTCTGTGTTGCTGCAAGTGGCATTATTTCATTATTATTATTATTTTTTTTTTTTGCGGTACGCGGGCCTCTCACTGTTGTGGCCTCTCCTGTTGCGGAGCAACAGGCTCCGGACGCACAGGCCCAGCGGCCATGGCCCACGGGCGCAGCCGCTCCACGGCACGTGGGATCCTGCCGGACTGGGACACGAACCCGTGTCCCCTGCATCGGCAGGCGGACTCTCAACCACTGCGCCACCAGGGAAGCCCTATTTCATTCTTTTTAATGGCTGAATAATATTCCATTGTATATTTGTCCCACATCTTCTTTATCCATTCCTCTGTCGTTGAACATTTAGGTTGCTTCCATGTCCTGTCTATTGTAAATAGTACTGCAATGAACTTTGGGGTGCATGTATCTTTTCAAATTATGGTTTTCTCTGGGTACATGTCCAGGAATGGGATTACTAGATCATATGGTAGCTCTATTTTTAGTTTTTTAAGGAACCTCCGTACTGTTCTCCATGGTGGCTGTACCAATTTACATTCTCACCAACAGTGTAGAAGGGTTCCCTTTTCTCCATACCTTCTCCAGCATGTATTGTTTGTAGATTTTTTGATGATGGATGTTCTGATCAGTGTGAGGTGATATCTCATTGTAGTTTTGATTTACATTTCTCTAATACTTAGAGATGTTGAGCATCTTTTCATGTGCCTCTTTGCCATCTGTATGCCTTCTTTGGAGAACTGTCTATTTACATCTTCTGCCAGTTTTTTGATTGGGTTGTTTGTTTGTTTGTTTTTGTTATTGAGCTGCATGAGCTGTTTGTATATTTCAGAGATTAGGATATCCCTCTTTTGTAATTCCTAATTAAATAATTAATTTAGCGATTGCTCTTGAATGGTTTCTGGCATAACAAAAAGAGAGATAATTGGATATTATGTTCTTTGTGATGGAAGTCATAAAAAAATTAAACTTGAATCCAATCAAGCCTCCCGATTTCATTACCAGTTTATAGCAAATATAGGGGACAGAGAAAGATA